AAGTCCACCATAAAGCACACAAACATATCATTCTTGTTTTACATGTTATTTGAATTGGGGAAGAATATTTTCATATATATAATCGGGTCCCCGTAAAGTCGTCCGGGGGCCGCCCTCAAGTCAAGTTTGGCTCTCCGGCCCAAGTATATATATAACTCACAATATCAAGAAAGCGCATATGCCCGTTTATATAAATGTTATATTGTGATGAGGTTTCCTTGATTATTATTAGTTTTATAGCATTGACAGACGATGGCACTCTTTGATCGGGACGTGTTAATGGATAACGGTTATTTTCATAGTTTTTGCAGAAGTCGTGTCCACGGTTTCCTGTGGTTAGTGCAGATATTTCATGTACAGTGTATTATTAATATGGACAAACATGGGGAATATAAAAGGGGAATTGGATGAAGTAGAAGGCAGAGGATAGAGAGCGAGAGGTGAGAGGGAAGAAAGACAACCAGGTAGAACACAGGTGAACAACAGGAGGGAGTACAAAGCTATTCATTGGCTTAACGCCCGCCTGCATAATGAAGTGAACGAAGTAACCACGTAATTGAGACGTTCTGAAGATCGGGATCAAGAGTATCCCTCAGCGCGTACATATAGCAAAAATAGGATTTTCATACGTATTTGCCATAAACAGGTAGAATAATGTTAACTGGAAGTGGTTTTACAAGTATTCTATCCTGAGACATGTTAGTGTCTATTGCAGTTCATGATAGTCCTAACTAATTCCTTGTTAACTCAAATCGGTATGTACCACAATTTATCAGTGTGTAATCTATAATGAAAGATCAGATTCAATACAACCTCCACACAAGCTATTATAATATCGATCAAAGTATCAAGAACGGTTAGAGAATTCCCACAGATTTATAGAACACTCTCGGATGTGTTCTACATACTGTTGAGGGAACTTGCAAGAAAAAGTTGAAGGATTTGGGGATTCAGGCAGAACCGGATATCTAGATGTTGGGGACGATCTTTTGCAATCTGCTTGTTATAAATATACTAAGCAGAACAGAACGATTATATGGACGCACATTAGACTGGTGTGAGAAAAGCATATAATATTGTCATCGACTTCGCTGAGTCCCGCAGAGAACTTGGAAGCGTGTTTTTTCCTGAAATTAGCGTAAGTTATAAGGCTACTTTCATTTCTTCAATCTGCAGTTAAGCCGTTTGTCTAATGAAATTTAGACTGGAATGCCTAGTCTGACTAACAATAACACAGGCTAGAACTACACATAGGCTATTAGAACACACATTTGAACTAAGAACTTGCGTTAGCTGGGTGTAAACTAACATGATAACGACTAGAACTACACGACAACAACTAGAACTGTAACAAACCGTAATTTTAAATGACGTATTTAATAAATTTTTCTAGTTTTGGTCCAGATATGTATCCATTGTGTTTTATTAATACTGTTTCCGTCAATTTTTGGATATTTTTTCTGCGAGTTTTCAAAGTAAATAAATAATAAACATATAGTCTTGTCTTTTTATTCGCGCTAAATATTAATTTACGGTTTAGTGCTTTTTCTGTATTAAATCATTTTGGGATTAATATTATTAATGACATTGTTATTATTGATGTAGTAATAGTAAATATTAATAAAGATTTTTTGTTGATGATTTAATTATTAATATATTTCAGAGATATTAGTGTGAGAATTTTCGAATTTTTTCCCTCCTCTTGATTTCTCTTTGAATTATTTTCATAATCTCCAAAGTCAATTTCTAATCAAGCATTTTAAAACTCAGTTCTTTTTAATTCCGAAACTTTCCTCTCTTCCATATAATTTGCTCAACGCTAAGGGCCCCTGTATCAAATCCTAGTCATTTTTTATGGCACAAAATCGCTGTGCTGATGTTTCAAATTGCAGATTTTTCCGCCATAATCAATTTTTCTCTCTGTCAATCACAACAAAACTTATCATACCCGTGACTTCCTCTATCCGAATATTAATACTGTACAAGGGCTACAGACCGTATCTTCATTGGCCCCGTAGCCCCTCTTTTCTCGTGTAAACAGCCTCAAGAAAACCTCTTCTTTCTTTTCTTCTTCCTCTCGCAACACCCGGACCCCATCTCCGTCGCACCGACCCCCGGACTTCCGCCCTGCGCCTCGCGTGACGCGCGCCCGACCTGCTTCCGCCAGTGCGCCGACGAACCCACGCCCGGCGGAACCAGCATCACCCGGCGCTCGAGGACCAAGTTTCACCGGGCTTCGTCCCACGTCGATCTGTTCACTACGCCGTTCGTCCGAGCTCCGCCGTCCGAGACCTCTTGGCGAACGCAGCGTGCCGCGCAGCACTTGGCAGCGCGCCCCGCACTGCCCCTCGAGCCGACCCCGCAGCCTTGGATAACTGTCCAGCGCCTTCAACCACGCCTGAGCCGCGGCTTTGCACTCCTGCTCGGGCGCTTTCCGCCTCCTACACGCCACGGCCGATCCACCGCCCAGCCGCTCCTCACCGGCGCGCTGAACCCGACAGAGCCCCGCTCGCTACGCCTTTCCAGATCGCGAGCCCACGTTATAGTTCTCACCGGAGCTCTTTCGCCTGTTCGCGCGGTCGCTCTCCCTCCGCGTCGGATCTGATCTCGCACGTTCGACACGTCGACCGAATTCACCGAGCAGGATCCACTTTCTTTGAGCTTGTTATCCAGCTTATTTATATCCGCTATTAATTGATTGTGTAGGATTAGACTGTGATAGTGATTAGTATGTGTTATTCGTGATTACATGCTGATTGCTTGACTGAATACCTGTGTGGAAGCTTATTGTTTTTTATCAACCTTAGTTGTTATCCATATAGAGAGACTGTACATGAAGACGACTCCTGTTAAAAGTATGATTTATTAAGCCGTGCTTCAAGGGCTATGGCTGTACCCTTGATCTCGATATCCCGTGATGAGGTTTCCTTGATTATTATTAGTTTTATAGCATTGACAGACGATGGCACTCTTTGATCGGGACGTGTTAATGGATAACGGTTATTTTCATAGTTTTTGCAGAAGTCGTGTCCACGGTTTCCTGTGGTTAGTGCAGATATTTCATGTACAGTGTATTATTAATATGGACAAACATGGGGAATATAAAAGGGGAATTGGATGAAGTGCGTGGAATGAGGCTCCCGAATCAATAACCCATGAATCGGAATCGCTATCCATAGCGAGAATCAGCGCATCTTGCACAATATGAGCCTCCTGCTCATTTTTCTTCGGTGCTTTACAGGTAGAAGACATGTGGCCCTCCTGGCCGCAGTTCCAACATTTTCCTTTGATAGGTCTCACCTTCGAGTTTGACCTCTTCTTCTTCGACTTCGATCGATTCCTGTTTTGGTTTCCCTTATTATGGCTTCTGCCTCTCTGCTCGAGACTTAGAGCTGAACCCGAACCTTCTGATTCATTCGATTTTCTTCTAACCTCCTCGGATAGAATCATAGCTATCACCTCCTTCAGCTTCAACTTCCCTTTTCCCGCCGAGTTGCTGATTGCGGTCACGCAACCTGCCCAACTATCCGGCAACTGCGATAGTATCAACAGGGCCTGCACTTCGTCATCAAACTTGATGTCGACTGAGATGAGTTGATCAACAATCGTGTTGAACTCGCTGAGATGCATCGTGAAGGAGCATCCTTCTGCCATCTTGAGGTTGAATAGCGTCTTGACGAGATGCACCTTATTTGCAGCCGACGGTTGCTCGTACATCGTTGCGAGCGCTTCCATAAGCCCCACCGTCGTCTTCTCCTTTAATATGTTGTGTGCTACAGATTTTGCGAGGGCCAATCGGATCTGCCCCAAGGCTTTTCGATCCAATATTTCCCAGTCCTCGTCGGATTCTTCTTTCTTCTTGCCTTTTGCTTTACCCATCAACGGACGGTAAAGGTCCTTCTGGTACAGATAGTCCTCCATCTGTGACTTCCAGTAGGCGAAGTCTGATCCGTCAAACTTCTCAATTTTCGATTTGCCTTCTTCTGCCATTCTTACACACACAAATCTGAACAAGGGCTCTGATACCAGTTGTTGGGGATAAACTCAGATACGCTCTAAGTCCCGTTCTGCGGAATTTGCCCTACCGGATCTTGTGTTAAGCAATGGAAAAAAGAAACTACTACAAATCAAAAAATAATTGCAAGAACAGAGAACACCGAGTTTTAACGAGGTTCGGCAACTTGCCTACGTCCTCGGGAGCCACACAAATAATTTCCTTTATATCAAAGAAGATTACAGAGCTTGTAAAGAGCAGATCTCAAACTTGAGATCTCTCAAGAAAAGAACCAACAAAAACTATTGTTGTTCAAATAAAAGGCGCGAGATTTTGCTACAGTAAAATCTCCTCTCTCTTCAATAAATCGCTACAGGAACTCAAGAATTTTTCTCTGAAAAATTCTCCTCTGAAGAGCTCTCCTTAATAGCCGCCGCCTCTGGAGTTTAATGATCTGAAGAAAAATCGGAGGAACGTCTGCTTTCGTGCTCAGGGTTTCCTTAAATAGGGAAACCCTAGCTAACAGCTGGATCCAGCTGTTCTCAACAAAACACAGGCCAAAGGGGGAATTCAGAACTCGCCTGCAGGGTGAAAATCCGCCCAACTTCACTCCGCTTGATGATTTCGCCTAAAACCATCGAGTTCGCCTGCAAGCTACGAGGTCGCCTGTTGAGAGCACCGCTCGAGCTCGCCTTCGCCCCAAACCAAGTTCGCCAGCAAAGAGCCTCGCCTGAAGCCCTAAAACTCGCTAGTAGCTCTCTTTGAGTTCGCCGATTGGACCTCACCCGAAGTCCATCGATCTCGCCAGCAGAGCATCGCCCTTGCCTGTCTTCGCCTGTAGCCGTCGATCCGCCTGAAGATCGCGACGTCGACCTCGAACTCTCCTGAGCTCGAGATCCGCCCGACGGTCTGATTTCGCCGCTGATAGGTATGGGCCTACACCCATTTCCAACAATGAATATATCCATCTTTTTACCATGATCATCCACACACATGAAATGGTGTAGACAGAAGAAGATTAATGATAAATTCTGCAGTATATCAGTTTAATATTATTCGTCAAAGAGCAGAAACTATTCCTTAATTTCTAAAGAAATGGAAAAGCTTATTTTTCTGTCATCGAACAAAGAACAAACCGATACAACAATCAACATGCTAGTGATGCATACATCATATTGAGGCAGAATTGTGCCTCGGGCTCTCAGGAAAAGAGTTTCGAGCAAAATGTTGCAGGAGAATATTGGCTCTGGACTTGTTTCAGCCTGTTCTAGTCGAATCTGAATTCTTTTATCTTGAGCCTCTATCACGTAGTAATATATGCAGCCATAATTGCATTTCAGCTTCTAGTCGCCAGAAAGGGTTTGAAGGTCATGAGGAGGCCGATGAACTCTATCACGATCAATATGAAGAAAACCATTTGATCACCTGCAACATCAAAAAAAAAAAAAGGTCTTTAATTGTAGAAATTGTATTGTGCGTTCGAAATCAATATCCTACATCTTCATCTAGACCGTTAAGATACCGCATGTTTCGTGGAAGCATCTTCATTTTTAAGCATAAGTTGGTTCATCGTGTGCACGCTGTCAGATGTAGAAAAAATCTCTCTTTTTTATTTATATTTCATTAATGCATACGACAAGAGATGAGAAGACATATTTATGTAAGTAGGGACATAATATAGAAATTGTCAATAGCAAGTAGGAAACAATGAAGAATATGCAGCAACAACAAGAACAACAACAACAAAAGCTCTATTCCGGCTACATGAATCCTATTCCATTTTGTTCTGTTATGGGCCATCTCCTCTGTTAAGCTAACCAAAATCATATTCTTCATTGTCTCTAACCAAGTCCTTCTAGGTCTACCTATAGATCCCGTTGCTGCATTAACTATAATATTATCACTTCTCCTAACTGGTATACAAAGAGGTCTACGTTGTACATGACCATATCACTTTAATCGATTCTCTCACATCTTATCCTCTGTTGTGCGCAGCGGAAATTTCGGCAGCACCTCCAGTGCGCAAGGTGCACAACAAGAGATTAGATCACAATGAAATTCTCGTTTCTCAAAGGAAACAAGAACCAAAAGCCAGATATCCCATCAAAGTGAGATATCAGCTCTTCCTCTCGTCAGCTCTAGGACTGCGCGTCGAGGGAACCTACAAGCTATTACAAATCACGGCAAGAACACAAATTTTACGTGGTTCGGCAAATAGCCTACGTCCACGGGGCAAGGAGGGGGTGGTTCGGCAAATAGCCTACGTCCACGGGGCAAGGAGGGGGAGATCTACTATTAGAGGAAGAGATACAAGTATACAACTAGGATTTACAATCTCACAATCTAAACTCTCTCAAACAAACTCTCAAATCCCTCACACAAATATTCTCTCAAAGGGATGCACAAATCAAAGAACAACTAAAAAAAGACTTTGCTTCTTCTCTATGAATAGCCGCCAAAATCTCTGCTCCTTTTGTTCTGTGTCTGCAGCAGCCACCAAAAGAAAAAACCCCCTGCACTTGCTCTCTTCCGCAGCCGCCAATTCAAAAAGCTCCCAATGAAAAACCCTCAACTTGCACGAAACCCTAGGCCTACAAGTAAGAGTATTTATAGGCCATGGTTTTGGGTACATGGGCCTCTTTCTCCGCTGGACTAAAGCAAAGAACACAACGTGTTCACAATTCACATGGTGGCCCCCACAATCAATCAATCTATCTGCTTTCAATTTGTTCACCTGGGAAGTTTTCCCAATTGGCAATCACGTGGGTGTGGCCCACCACCCGTCCTTCATGTCCCGTTCATTCACAATTCTCCACCTCGGTGAAGTTTCTACCAAAACTGAGCCGACACCAAAGCATCCAACTGTCCCACTTATTGTGTCCAGTACGCCGTGAAACAATTCACGACAACGGACTCAATCCATAACAAGTAGAGACCCAAACGGGAGTGCGAACACTCTTCCAAACGTCGATGTCTACTCACCAAATCGATCTCACCCCATCAAAATCCAAAACCGGCTGCATCGTAAACACTGCCTACGTATCCTCTTGCTCAAGGAATCAAGCCGAACGTAGTTCACCCAAATGGCCGCTAACGACTTCAATCCAATAGAAGAGTTTGTAACCCTTCTCCAATATCACGATCAAGTCTGCGGCTAATAGCACCTCCAATGGCCCTAAACTGAAACAATCCAAACATCTCCACCTGAGATGAACCAATGGCCATATCCAGACTACATCTATCAGCTGTACTCAAATCAATCAACCTATCATCTGCATCCAAATCAACATGATTCCCAATCTGTGTCACATCAGCTAGAATCCCAAATAATGCAGTATGATCTGGAGTTTCTACCCAACGTGGAGTAGCATCACTCTCCACCCGCTGCGATGTCCCCAATATCTGATCACCACTCTCCACCTGCCGAGAGTCAAACGTGACATATCTGCTCAGAACAAAGTCAGAAGCCAATACCTGATAATCAAACACGCCTCTGACTACCAAATGTGCTATCGGATCAAATCTCACATCCACGATGTGACCAAGTGCTGGGTAGTCAAATATCCGACGCAACCCAAAATCTAAAGCAGCTCCACCGGATCCAAAATCTCTACATGCAGCAGTCGGCAACCTATACATAAGATGGCCCAAACATGTCGTAGCCCGCACACCAATGCCAATGCTCGACATCAAACGCCGATCCTCCTCCAGAAAGGAACAGCTCTCCAAATCTGCCATCTCATCACGTCGCCTCAAAGTTTCCACACCAATGAAGTGTCTCCAATTGCCGTGAGCTCGGCACAAATGCAGAAATAGGTCCCTCTTGTACCTCCCTCTAACATCAGACTGAAGTACCTTCACCTTTCTGCCAATACACTTCCTCCATTTGTTGCGGGCTTCTAGGACTTCACACCAACGAGATTTGGTTGCAACCCACCAATGCCTAGAGCAATCCCCAACTGTGGAAACCACATACCTATTACCTCCCAATGATGCTCTCTTGGAAGGCACCCGAATGCCTGAATGAACACCCCTCAGAAGACCCCTTGAATGATGGATAGCGGTGCCAAACTCCACATTGGTCTTCTTGCTCATACCAATGGATTCACAGGACTTCAAACTGCAGGTCAAAGCACTCCTTAACAACCTATGCACGGCATTACCAATCAAATAACCCAGCATCAAACAACGCCACAGTCTAACCGAATCTGATGAAGTCGTCATCTCCCTATCAATCGCCGTACTTCCGAGCAAATAATACAAATTGCTCCTTCTGACGCCCTTCACCACAATCATGGACCCCAATGTGACCTTCAAACGTGCATCCACCAAGGTCACTTTATAGCCAGATGCCACCAAAGCTCCTAGTGAAATGATGTTCTTCGACAACTGCGAAACGAACCTCACTTCGTCTAACTCCCGCACCATCCCGTCACTCATCTTAATCCGAACGGTACCAATACCACCAATAGAGCATGCATGTCCATTACCCATGATCACAACATCCTCTCTTTCCAACTTCTGAAAGCTGGAGAACCAATCCCTCTTAGGGCAAACGTGATATGAAGCACCCGAATCCAACATCCACTCTGTAGAGTTGGCAACACAAACTGACGGTAGTGCAGACAACGAATAGCCCGAAGAATCCGAATCTGAATTGTTGCCACTAGTCTTGACAACATTCACCTCTGAAGCTTGTACAGCTTTCCCCTTATTCTTCTCGACCCAATCTAACTTTGGGCATTCGGCTTTCCAATGTTCATCCTCTTTACAAAAGGCACACTGATTCCTACGAATCCCACGATGTGCACCTCTAGACTGCGACCTCCTGCTTCGGTTTGAACCACGGCCATGAACTACTAATGCATCTCCCGATGCCTTCTCGGAGGACTCATCAACACTCTTCCTCAATTCATAATTTACCAACGCTGAGGTCACCTCCTTGTAACTAACAGTAGTTATTTCATTAATCATAGTTAGGACAAAAATATCATAATCATCCTCGGGCAACGAACACAAAAGTAGCATCGCCTTGTCTTCATCCTCAACCATGATATCCACATTGGCCATGTCTGAAAGTAGCTTTGTGAAGTTGTTAACATGCTTCCTAATAGAAACTCCCCTATTCATCTTGAACTGGTAAAACCTCTTCTTCAAGTGAAGCCGATTCTCAATGCTCTTAGTAAGATACTTTTCATTGAGTGTTTCCCACATCTTCTTCGCCGACGTCTCGTTCATCACATCATAAATAAGATCCGGCGTCAAGCATGACCGAATAACTCCACACGCCCTACTATTCATCTTCTTCCAAACATTAGCTTCCATCTCGGCAGGTTTCTCTTGTAACTCAAGAGTCTCCTCCAAATTCTGAGCGTCCAAGGCGTCCATCACCTGACATCTCCACAATCCGAAATTAATCTTGCCGTCAAACTTCGGAACATCAATCTTCATGTTATTGATGCTCAAACTATGTATCGTCTTCGTAAGAGACGATCCCGATGTGCTTGTTTCACCCATGTTGTCGATCTAATCTTCAAATAGGAATCCTTCAGCAAATCCTTCAAACAAGCTCCCAAGTCCAACCCGGAGCTCTGATATCACTTGTTGTGCGCAGCGGAAATTTCGGTAGCACCTCCGGTGCGCAAGGTGCACAACAAGAGATTAGATCACAATGAAATTCTCGTTTCTCAAAGGAAACAAGAACCAAAAGCCAGATATCTCATCAAAGTGAGATATCAGCTCTTCCTCTCGTCAGCTCTAGGACTGCGCATCGAGGGAACCTACGTCAGCTCTAGGACTGCGCGTCGAGGGTCCTCTCGTCAGCTCTAGGACTGCGCGTCGAGGGTCCTCTCGTCAGCTCTAGGACTGCGCGTCGAGGGTCCTCTCGTCAGCTCTAGGACTGCGCGTCGAGTCCCTCACACAAATATTCTCTCAAAGGGATGCACAAATCAAAGAACAACTACAAAAAGACTTTGCTTCTTCTCTATGAATAGCCGCCAAAATCTCTGCTCCTTTTGTTCTGTGTTTGCAGCAGCCACCAAAAGAAAAAACCCCTGCACTTGCTCTCTTCTGCAGCCGCCAATTCAAAAAGCTCCCAATGAAAAACCCTCAACTTGCACGAAACCCTAGGCCTACAAGTAAGAGTATTTATAGGCCATGGTTTCGGGTACATGGGCCTCTTTCTCCGCTGGACTAAAGCAAAGAACACAACGTGTTCACAATTCACATGGTGGCCCCCACAATCAATCAATCTATCTGCTTTCAATTTGTTCACCTGGGAAGTTTTCCCAATTGGCAATCACGTGGGTGTGGCCCACCACCCGTCCTTCATGTCCCGTTCATTCACATCCTCAATAGAAGCAACCTCCAATTTACTATGAATGCATTTATTTCTTATCTTATCTTTTAGTGTATACCCACAAGAC